AGGCTTTGCCGTGATGGACTGTCATGGCGACACTCGATGAGTTTTGAAGGAACAAGGCTGACCAACTTAAACTACAATAGATGGGGGCATTAGGTCCCTTTCCCCTGCAGGGTCACAGTGCCAGGTGAATGGAAAGACTCAGAGGACGGGTGCACAGAGGTGAGGGATGCAGGTCAAAGCCGAGGGATTTCTCTCAGGCTTTGCCCATGCTCAGACCAGGGAAACACTGAAACAGAGGTCACTCAATTCAAGTGATGAAAAGTGTGGACCCTAGTCTCGACATGTTTCGACCAAATATTTCATCCCTGTTCTTCCCAAGTGGTTCCAAAGCCAGACATGTAGGCCATTGTAGACCTTCAGACTTCATCCACTGGGTCCCACTGAGAGTCCCACTGGGAGTCCCACTGGGTTCTGCCAAAGCCCGCAGATCGCGAGGAGGCTGAGATCCAGGCAGCACGACCGCCAGCCCTGGAGCAGGCTGTGAGGGGCTCGGCTGGAGGACGGAGGGCGGCCTCCAAGTGACACGAGGCATCTCGAGGGCCAAACAGGCTTGCCTAATTAGCGCCTAATTTGGACTGCAGAGATCCGGATTTCATGTTGGCCAGCTAGGAGCATTCGGAGGATGAAATCGGCAAGCATCCAAAATCCACAAGCATCCAAAACCCAAAACCACTGAATCTTCCGATCGCTTCCATTTCATCCACTCGATTTTGCTCCATTTGCCCCGTGCCTTTTGGGGGTTCTTCGCGACTCCTCACGTCTTCAGCGCTCTAGGGAGACCTTTGTGAGATCGGGAACCCCGAACCAGGCAGCACTGTGTGATGAAGGAGCTGAAGTCACAGCAGCCGAAGGAACCTTGAAGTCGGGTTGCTGAGGAGTCCAAACATCATCAAACTGTTGATTGGTGTGACCTTCCAGCTAGTTGTGCTGTGGATGTGTCCTTCCGGCATATCACCCTCAAGCAGTGGGCCAATAGAGCAGAGGTAATACAATATCTTTCTCACTCTTGGCCTTGTTTGACCCGAAGCCTTCTTTCTCAGATTTTCTCAGCTCGTGTGGATCTTTACCTTTTTTCCTCTCGTTGGAGTTATGCTGTAAATGAAAATGTTGTTGGTTTTGGTGCAGCTGTATCCCACGTTAGCTTGTGTGGGACATCCCCAGGATATCAGCATTCCTTCATAGTTCCAAGTTCCCACCTGTTCTTCGAAGACAAAGCAGCCCTGTGAGGCTGGTGGGAGTCGGCCAACAGCCTCCAAACGGACATGAAAGATCATGAAAGCACATTACTATCACATTGGCTGCCGAGGATGGTGCCAAGGCTTCATGGATCATTGCATGGCCTACCTTTGTGGCTCGGCATCTGTCTCGCTTTCGCTCCTCGCGAGCGGGGACGTTCTTTTTGGACAAGTGGATGGATGGAAGACAGAAAACGGCATTTATTCAGGGGATGCAGAATCGAATGCTGACAGGACTTGGATAAGTTCGATCTTCTCCATGTCAGGTGGTGAAATGGAAGTGTTCTTTATCAGTAGTTGCCACCAGTCCGCGTCAGATGGTTGGCTTGCTGCCCGCCCGCCCACCCGCCCTCTCTCGCCAAGGCAGTCGCTGGACGAGACACCGGGCCCTCGTGCGGTGGGCCTCCTAGCCTCGCCATGACCTGTGTGTGTGGCTCGTGGGGATGGTTGGAGAGGTGTTTCGATGACTCGCGACTCGCGACCGAAGCCATCACAGCAGGAAATGAAGAGCAAACAGCTGTTCTGAATGCCTAGCGGCCTAGCTCTATCAATCGACCCTTTTGGCAGACTGGCAGCTACAGTAGTTACATAAGTTTGCTGTTTGAACAGTTTTCATTGGCCGTCCATCCCCAACTCGAAGTTCGATTGCTGCGCATTCTCACAGCCATTTGGAGTTTTTTGTTTGTGGAAGCTTGCTCCAAGTCGGTGAGCCATGGAGCTTGATGGTTGAAGTGGAAGTGGTGGCTGGCTTGGGGCGGTGCCTAGTGGCCAGCAGAGATTTTCAGGCGATGAGGGACGAGTAATGATTTCTTCCCAAACAGGCAGGCCCAAGCTTCTTGAAGTTGCATGTGCTACAGCCAGTTTGCTGTAGGTATTCTTAGGTCATTTCCGCAGCCACTGGCTCATTGTTCAGAAGAAGGGACCGTGTGGAAGGTGTGAAGAACACATGGTGGGAACATGCTGAAGCAGCATCCTCCATGAGCACCGGTGACCAAAGAGAGTCATGGTGTATTTCTCCCTGCTGACAGGACCAGAAGTTCAATTGCTTTTGGCCGAGCGGCTTCAGGCACCGGTTGGGTTTGATCCCGTTGGAGCCTTTGAGGCGGAAGAAGAGGTGGCATTTGCACAGCCCTCCCTTGGCTGGAGGCGCTTCAAGAAGGACTACAAGCCGCAGAGATGGAAGGCGTAGCAGCACCCTAGCAGATTGGAAGAGCATAATATACTACAACGCTTCACAGCCGTTTGCCACCTGGATGGGAAAATCCTTTTGTCCCAAGGTCTGTTGAGGAGTGTGTAAACCATATTTATGGCGGAAGCACCCGCTGCTCTTTGCCTAATACAGATGTATACGACAGGCTGCACGGTCCCATACCCTCTTTACTTTCCAATAAACATCATCCCAAGACCTCGATCCTCTTAATCTCTTGAAAAAAATACCTCAGACTCAGCGTTCTGATGTTTCGAGTCCCACGGATTTCTGCCTCAACCCTTCGATGGGCAACGTCGCAGCTGTGCCGACAAACCAATACGGCTGGTGCCCACGGAGGGCACTGATATTCCGCCAGCAGACCCTCCGTTGTGCCACAGAGGACCTGCTGGGCAGTGTTTGCCCTCGAAGTCTTCGAACAAACTGTAAAAGCCTCGTCCGGTTCGTTTGGTTCTTCCTCCCGTTTCTCGCAAAAGTAGGAGAAAGCTGAAAAGGGGATGACTTTCCATTTTGTTCACTCCAGCCTTTCCTCTCCCGCAGAAGGAGATAGAAGGAGCTCCAAGAAAATTTGAAGGACGGGGTAGGCCGGGGTAGGTAGTCTTCTTGTGCTCACATCAGTCTCAGTTGAACTTCTTTGGCCTTCAGGACGGTAAAATGAGGAGTGAGAATTGGTCATTTACCCGGATAAGGTAGTAGTAGGAAGACTGCTATTGATTGATGCACAAACCTAACAATAGGCTGTGATTGACTTATATAGAATCGTAAGCGCCAGGAGTGAATCAACAAGGAGTCTTGTGAGCTTGGCCACTCGTGTCGCCACCAACTTGACAACTGCAAGCACACTATTCAGCGTGGCACCTTCATCGATGTTCACTTGTGTTCCTCTTCCTGTCCTGAGTGTTGTGATCGTGTCTATTGCAAAAAGTTAAAAATGCAAAAGAAGCGACAGCATCGGCGGTATCGCAGGATGCCAAGAAAACATGTGAGCCAAGCCATCGCGGTTGGATCACTTAGAGCTTGCTTCGTTTTAGCCAATCGCGGATGTGCCAGATGCAGGTGAGGGGACTTGAGAAAAGGATGAGATCGCACAGCTTGTGCATCTCCGGTCAGTTCAACATGTTGCATGCGAGCATGGCGTTTGCTTCAAAGTCAGCGCCATCCTGAAATTCTCGCTGCTCGTCACCAAGAGCCTTGTGACAATCTGATAGCAGTGAGGCACCCATGAGAACAGTTCCTTAAACGCTTTGAGTCGTATGCCTGGGGCGGTTTTGCAAAAAACGATTTGAGTCAACGGGTGCCCTGACCCCTTGGCCTCACATGAAGCGAAACTTGCGGAGGAGTCTCTTAGGTCTTTTCAGAGGTTTTTCTTAGGTCTCTTAGGCCTTTCGGAGGAACCTCTTAGGTCTTTAGGATGTTTTGCCTCACCTTCACTTGTTTGAGGAGCTCAACCTATTGCAGATCAACCTTCCCCCTAGCATGCCCTATGTCGGGGCAATGCTCGCACGGCGAAACAAGGTGTTGTGAGCCCACACGGTGACATAAGGCGTCCTGGGCTGGGGCTCGTGTAGCAGAGAACCGGTCACTAGAGAGACCAGTTGATGACCATTGGGACACCTAGCCATGCTTCAAGATCTTTTAGCCTGTGACTTGCAGACCTTGGAGTTTTCCAAAGTTCTAGCAGCTGAAGTCAGGCACCCAACCTCAGGATGTTGACCAAAACAAATAAGAGATGGGTGAGATGCTCAGGTTTCAAGGCACACATGTTCACAGAAAATCACCTCAATGATGACCGATGTTCGCCTCAATTCAGAGATCCCATTTCACCGCGGCCGTGCAGAACTTCAGAACCCTGTGCCAACCCCAGGACTGCAGGACTAATGCCTTCCGCCTTTGGGTGCATGATGCCGCAAGCGCCTGCCCGTTTCAGCAGAAGATAGCAGAACGGGTGCGGGGGAATCGTAACTTGTTCTCATGTGTTTTGACGTTTCCGTCACTGAGGCCTTTCTTGACATTGTATGACTTGATGTTTTGTCCAAGTCCTGTTTCCACTTGTGTTATATTCCTTCTTCTCCAGCTGGACTGAGAACCCAACGAGCCACACTGCGCACTGGCCGAGCTCGATTCAATCAGCGCTTGTGGTGAAAAAGCCGCTGTGTGGTTCAAAGGCTGGAGCAAGTCAGTGCTGCTTAAGCGCCGCTGAAGCGCCCTGAGCCTCTAGCTGGATCTTCCAAGCGCTGGTTGATGCAAGGGACCTCTCTTTCGCTTTGTTGGAGTTGAGCGACTGCCTCGGGGGAAGAAGCGAACGGACCTTGAAGATCCTTAAAGATCCATCGATGAGGCCCGTCGGACGTCCCACAACGAGGGAACTGGACGTCCACGTTCCCGCGCTCCACTCGTGAGCGACTGCCACGGGTCCGTGGTTTGGGACCCCAAGAAAGAGTGCCTCCAGCTAGGTTAGTGGAGTGTCTCCACGAGTGCTTCCCTGCCGCTTCGCACCAGTGGGCTTCTCGTCACAAGAGGCATCGCTTCTTGTCCCTGTGCTGCTTTGGCTGGTGCGCATGCACGGCTCGAGCCGGTCAGCTCTTCTGTCGATTTGCAACAAGTCCGACAAGTTCACAAAATCGGAGTGGCTTGCTGAGACCCCGCGGTCCTGGCTATTCCCAAGTATGTCGTCGTCCGTCTTCAACTGTTTGCAGACTGTTTTTCGGACTGAGCACCCGCTCGTTCAGCGAAGGAATACAATTTTGCTTAGAAATGGTGGGGCTGCTTCTGGTGTGACAAGGCTTGATGAGATTCGCAAGGAGAACCACAGCTACACTCTTCTATCTCAGCCATTTGCATTCGAATATCCTGCCAAGTTGTACTGCTGCACCTCTTCGTTGTAACGGGCAAACCCCCCGCAGTCCGGTGAGCGGTGAGATCCCCACGGCAACGGCGGTGGTGGACCCATCTGGTGGACCCAGGGCCGCGCACGTCGGCCAAGGGTTCAGACGGTCTGGGGAGACGCGACGTGACACCAGGTGGTTGTGTGTGTGTGCCCAATTTGCAATGGGCGGTCACAGGGCACATGAGAGGTCACAGCGGCCTGTTCACCCAAATACACTCCTTCACTTGGTTGCCGCAGAAAATCAAGTTTTTACAGTAAGTAGCCTTGATTGAATGCAGCCAGTGCTTGACTCTAAGCTGAGGAGCTGAGGTGGTTAGGCTTAAAGTGATGCTCAAAGCAGCTGAACACGGTTTGTCCAAATCTTAGATTCTTAGATAGACTCTCCTCCAAATGTCTCAGTTCTTCCACCTTCACCACCTCGAACTTGACGCTACCTTGCTTGGGTGAGTTCTGTGGACCATCTCCAGACCAGTCCATTTTGGTGGCGCTGTTCCAACCACCCTGCAGCCCTCCTTCGAGTGACCTGAGATGATCAACGGCAAAGGGATGACTTCCACAAGCGCTCAATGTTAAGACCGATGAAGAATAGATGCCCGAGTTGTAACACAGCACAGTGGAACACCTGTTTTGTTCGGACGCCCCGCTTGAAGTGGACAGGCTAGCGATCTTTGGCGTGATCTCACAAGGTAGCGCTGCCTTGGCGAGGTTTCCCTACCAACATGTCCACACACCATACGAGACAAGGGACATGGCGTGCCAGCCGGATGCTAGTTACAAGCGAGAGGGCAGTCCAGTTCAGGACCACTGGCCCATTGTAAGGTTGGTTGTGTTCATAGTGCAGCAGCTGGCAAAGTCTGGCAGTCCAGCAGTAGCAGCTCCAGCACCACCTTAACAACTGCATGCTGGATACCTCCCACAGATTTTGCAGTTGATAACCCCGCATGTATGTGTAACATTGTATACTGTATAACCAAACATTGCGTTGTGAGTATCACTATCACTGCATCACAACATTGAAGAAGGCCAGAAAGCCAAGATTCATTTGAGTGTTTTTATTTGCCGCGATTGCCCCGCATTTTATGCATCTAGAGCAACGCCCAGCTTTCTCAATGTTGCTTTTGTGGGTTATCCACTTTGACATATTGAAGTTTGTGATAGGCCGGCGGTCTTCGCAGAGCCTTGTGTATACACCCTTGCCCATTCTTGCCGCTTGGGGACTATTGAAGTCAAATCAAGTTCTGAGTGTGTGCCGTAATTTCATGGGGGGCAACTTCCTCAAACATGCTTGCCATCTTGCCAATGGCAGCAAACATGCTGACTTTGTTCATACAATCCTAGCCTTGGAGATGAGGTGGCATGAACATATTCCGTTCACATCGTGTCTCGCCCTGTTAGATCTGTGAGGCGATTCTTTCACTGCGTGAGCTGACATGTCCCATGCCGCCGCGTCTTCGGCCTGTTCAGCACATGCTGAACGTCCGTGCTCCATTGGCATTGGGATTTGACTTCGGCCATAGTTACAGTAGGCAGACGTTGCAAATCCTGTGTTTGGCTTGGGGCGAATGTTGAGGCAGGTTTGACATGAGATAAGCTGGTGCCTGTATTTTGCCATGCCGCGTTCCTGATTGAAATTGTGATTGCACGTGATTTGTGCAATTTGTCAACGTTTCCATTGAGATGACGGGCTTGCCGCGCCAGTCATTGAACGATGCGCCGCTTTGTTCCAGAGAGAATCCTGCCTAGTGTCCTGCCTATGTTTAGCAAAGGTTTGGACATTTCCATGGTGGCGTTGGAATGCGAAAGGCCAAACTTTAATTGGTTAGTTCCTGGGCACTAGTCACTAGTGATGTAGGACCACCTCCATGTTCAAAGCAGTGCATGTGAGTTCCAAGTGTTCCAAGCCAAGTTTGTTATGTTTGCTTTAACAAAATGAATGGCGTCATCAACCCCTTTGTTGCTTTGCTGGCCTGCGATGCCCCATTAATTCCAACGCATCCAAGAGCTTATCCCATGGCCAGCGTCCTTCTTGATCCGACAGCAGCTTCAAAATTGATTGTTTTCCGCGTCCCGTGAATGCACTGACCGTGCCGATTCAACCGAACTGTGCTGCCAGCACCACCACCATGGGCAGCCCGTGAGCCAACGAAACTCAATGGTCGGGGCTCCAGACCTTTCGGCTCTGTGTCGTCAAACTTGACGCCCAGCCAAAGCAGCTGGGATCTTGCAAGCACGATCGTCATCTCTCCCCAGCCTTCACGCTCCCCCCGAGTCGCTGCTTTTTGTCCGGACAAGGCTGCGAGACGCGGAAAACGCGGCGAGACTTGGATCGATGGTGCTTGATCACCTATATTCATTGCAATACTTTGGCAAAGTGCAGTTAGTCAGCTAAATACCTCAAAAAACTATCCACATACCCTTTCAGACTGATCTCACCATCGAAAGTTCACCCACCTGCCAGGCTGGCCATGTGCTCCTCTCCGAGCCACCGCTCCTGGCGGCCAGCGCCGTCCCCGCGCCCGCGCCCGACGACGTCACGGGGGTTTTGGCCGCTGGGCCTTGGACGTGTGCCGTGCTGTCGCCCAGCGCCGCCCGGCGCCTGGCTGGGCTGGTGCTGAGCTATGCTCGCAGTGACCGGAAGGTGCGGGAGGCGCGGTGTGCCACGAGGAGGTGGTTTCTACAGGGTTTGCCATGGTTTCACCGAAGGTTGACGGTTGATTTCGTAAATTACCCCCTACCAGGATGGTTCTACATCACTCATCATCATTCTACATCTGGATTTATACATCAACGGTCCACATGACGAACTTGGAATACAAGTTCCAAAAAGTTGCTGCTTGATCATGCCTGGATGGGCACCAGATGGACAAAACATATACAGAGTTGTGCCGATCCTCGTCCTTCAGGCGGTGCTTCAGTTGGATGATGCCATGTCGGAGCGCCTGGCTGGAGTGATTCGACGCTTCGCGCTGCAGCTGCGCACGGCGGGCTTCGCCGGTGAAGTGCCTAAACCGGAGTTGCAGTGCATCCTGTGACTGGGCCATTCCAGGGAGCAGTGCTGGCAGAGTGGTGCAGGGATTGCAGAAGTTGACGATCCCCGTTGCACACATCCGAGCAATAGATTGCTTAATTAGGTGCAGTATCCTCCCAAGTGGATTGTACCCCACAACCTATAGTATAAGGGTGCAGATAGACTTTGCGAATTCTTTCACATTGACTGAGAATGGGATCAAGGCTTCCTTTCTGAGTTGGGGGGGCATCTCTGGGATGTAATGTTTTATATCTAATCATCTATAATCATCGTGCAGGATTGTGCACTGCTGAGCCTTGTGAGTGGCAAATGGTGGTGGAATGAGCAAAGCATGCTATCGCTGTCGTTCCTGGTTCTCCTTTGTTGCACATGTCTGCAGGATCGAGTGCTTTTCTTGTTTTTTACCACAGACTTCCTCAAGGTTCATACAACTCGTTTGATTAACAGCGTGCTCCATTGGCACAAAAATCCTGATACAACTTGATCCACGCATGCACATGTGCAAATCGATGTGCGCTCAATTGCTTGGCCCATTTGTACATATTTGCACATGTGTAGTTTTTTGGGGTAGGGAGAAGTCCGATCGGGCTTGGTTGGTTTTGTGGCTCACACCCTTCATGAACTGATGTCGGTGCAACACCATAGTGTTGTTTCAAATAAAGTCATGTTGCATTCAGTTTTGGGTCTCAACAGACGTCCACTCTGAGGCGCATTTTTTGGGTGAACGGCTTTCCCTTTGGAGAGGACGGCTCAGCAGTCTTTCCAACAGCATGCTATTGCGCGCATTCCTGTACGCCCAATGCCGCCTACTACACCGATGGGCGCCATGCACATGTGGACGCTCGGCATCGCGTCAGCTGCTTGGGGCCATGCAGAGGCACCGGTGAACAGCGGCACGGAGGGTTTCAACTGGCCCACTGAGTGAACTTGGTGTTCCATCATTCAGAGGCAAACGGAAGGGTAGTGCACAGAAAGAGTTTTGCATAAACCGTCAGAACAACCGATTCTACCAACATCGTGGAAGGTCCAGGACATTAGTGGAACCCGGGGAAAGTTTCGTGGACGTTTCGTGGAATGGTGGCCAGTAAGGAAAACTGACAACAAAAAGACACAAACCTTCGCAGAACTGGGTGGAAGGATGTGGAAAGGTATGTTTGATGCACTCACTTCGTAGACGCCATTTTTGCTGACCCCACACCCTCCATTTAGCCTTCAATCATGGGAGTCACCTGGAGCCGTACGGGCTCCGAGCCCGGAACCGTCCTGGTGGAAGGAGTCCTCGCATGGCCGCTTGACCGAAAACTGAGGTGGCCATGCAGCCCTTGTGCAAAGGAGACCTCATCGAAATCTCCTACATCCAGCCGCCGAATCATGGCCAGATCAGATCTTGATGGTTTGAAGCGGTGTCCTTTTGCAATTGGTTTGGGGGCTTCAAGTTCTATCCAAATGCCAGCATGCTGCATGCTCCACAGAATGGAACATGAGATTGGAGGCCCTTCCTACTTGATCACAAGATAAGGTACATGTTGCTGCCCAGAGACCTTCGACAGCAATACATTGAGAGAATCTATGGATTTGCTTCAAGCAACTTTGTACTGTGTTTTGTAGTCTATGGGTTTTTGGGTTGCACGAATTTCTGACATTTACTCAAGAAGCTTGTCCTGAAGACTTCCGAAGCTGATGATCGAGTTGATATACGTGAGTTTACTTACCCCGCATAAGCACAGACAACTCCTGGTCTTTGCGTTTTTAGGTGGCCTGGCTCGACCTGACCAGTCCCTCACTGTAGTACAAACACCAAAATTCGGTGGACACCCGTTTTACTCTGCTTGTAGGAGAGTATTCCAATAGTCGTTTTGGCATCACCTAATCAAGACAAAATGTTGGCTTTTGAATGTTCCATGCTGTTTTATAAGGTGGCCACATTGGTGGGGTTGGGTATGGAAAGGGGCCAGTTTTGAGGGAGAATGGCATTCTTCAATCTTGCCCTGAGACTTTTGGGTAGCTGTTTCCTTCGACCACAGCCAAATGTTGACAATTTGGAGTGAACAAACAGGATCATACACAAACACGAAAGACATAGTAAGACAGTTATCTCAAGCAATTCTCCGCCAACAACCACTTTATCATCCTATAAGCGCAATAGTCGTTTTGTCGGGAGTCTCATTTGCAATTTGGGTTCATGCCCTTTTCTGAGCACACATTGTGTTCGCGAACCTTTTTGAGGCACAAGAGGCTTTTGCTGCCTTTGCAACCGCTGCATCGGGGAGCAGGACTCAACTGTGGAAGATGAGCCCACTCATCGTAGCTTGGACCTCAGATATTTTAAATTTGACGGGATGGTCATAGTGTTCAGGGAAGAAGCGGAGGAGGAAAGTTCTCAAATCACTTTGCATGCAAGGATCCTTTTGTCTGGGGCAAACGGTGCCACAAGAGCAACACATCTCATGTTTTGTTCCGAAGAAGCCTCCTCGCGATTCTCCCTGAGACCCCTCGCGAGGCCGACTGGATGTGGAACTTGATGTGATCGCCTTCGCAGAGAACCCAGCAGCCCTAGACTTCGAGGATGGCTCTGAGATCCTCCCTCGTGGTGTCCAACTGGAAGTTCTATTGGCCCAATGTTCCATGCACCTGGGCACGGGCCAGACCTCTCAGTGCACTAGACTAGACCTGCTGTGTGGCCATCCCTTCTTTGGAGGAAGCAGTTTCTGATCATTGTCCTTGGTTCAAAGATGTTCAAATTATGTTCCAATTCATTGACTGATTCCACATGATCTCTTTGCAGGTATGGTCGTCTAGAGCTGACTTTCTGGCTCCTGCGCTTACGTGTCTACCGTGACCTGGCACGCCTCGCCGGGTACCTCAACGCCTTGCGCTTGGAGGATCTTCGGGAGCTGATCTTGTGCGCAGGCGCCCGTGGTGCGTGCACGAGCGCAAATGGGTTGTGTGCACCATGTCGCCGTATGGGTGCGGCTAGAAAGTTTTTGAAACACCACGAGCTCCTGCACCTCATGATTCAGCAGCTGATATGTGTGAGTGTGTGTTTTGTTGGCATTGTTTTGCTGGGGGCACTGCGAGTGTGCAAAGGCCGTGACTGGAAACAACTGGCGACCGCCCACGCAACAATGCAAGCCCGGCACTAAATAGCTAAGTACAATCAAGGTTTCTCATGTGCCAGCGTCATGATGACATGGCTATAGTGTCCCATTAGTGATTGCCCCGTGTCATACTGCACCACCATAGCTTCCATGATGGCACGTTGGTTCTGCCTTTGAGGTGCCGTGCATCAGCATCTCTATCAGAAGTTGGACCTTGGCTTGTTTCCGGGCCAGCAATTGTGCAATGACTTGCGGGCGAAGCAAACGGTTTCAGAAAACTCTGAGAAGCACCGGATAGAATGTTGACGTTCGCGTGGTCACATCAGAGCAACCTTGATGAAACACTTGGTGTAACTTGCTTCTTTTTCTCTATATTGTTGCTGCTTAACTCAAGTTTTCTGCTGCTTTATTATGTGTTTGACCTGAGAGCTGAGAGGTTTTCCCCCTTCTTGGAGGGGGAGCTTCATCGACCCAAAGACTTGACAACGACATGGCTGACCTGTGCAGACATCCTGAGCCTCAAAGCTCAGGAGATTGAGGAGGCATCTCTAGGCGAACGGGTTTCAGATGGGTTCAGGGGATTTGGCCGATGAGGTGATTGCTAGCGTCCATTGCCATTCCTGCTACAGATTTTTGCATGCTTTTGCGCCGCGGCATTTGTACAGGTGATGGCAGGACGGCGGAAGCTAGCTTTGTGGACGACGACCTTCTTGCTATGGCCATGCTTGGAAGGCACGTCGCCTTGCAGCTTGCCACGGATGCTTGCAAGAGCCCGATTCAATGCTGCGATGCGCGGTTGCAAGACAAGGGATATCACTGAGAAGCCCGTCAATATGATATGCTGGCTGTTTCCTAGGAGTGTACATTCCTCAAACTATCAATGGCTTGTGCCGTTTGTTTCACCAAAGCCATAACAACAAAAGGGCATATTATTGACATTATTCAATCATCTTCCACAAACTTGTAGAGAGTGTGATAATGTAGAAGTTCAACCCTTGGCATGTCTGTCTACCTGAGTTTTTTCCACTTGCAGCCGGACACTTGGAAAATTCATGATGCGGAGCCCACTATGCTCGTTCAGTTTGTGCTCCTTGTTGCCATGATCAGGCCCTTTATATGCACATGGTGAGCAGTAATAGCCTAATAGCTGATAGCTGTTTCTGGGCACCGACTTCTCAATTGTCACACTCCTGTACATCAGGCTTCAATGATCAAGAGAAATAGTGCTACCCCTCCAAAATTAGTATAGCTGGCTTTCCGGCAGTGCATTCCACAATAGTATAGTTGTTCGATCCTTGGCATATTTGTTTTGGGCATGGCGGGGCAGGGCATGGCAGGGTGGTGGGACTGAGGATGAGCTTTTGCAAGCATCCAGGAGTGCTGCTTTGGTGGGGAAAAAAACGAGCGCTGTTTATCCCACGTGGACGGGGCGGATTGGTTTGATTATTGTTGACTCATGGAAGTTCTAGGTAATGCAGGACAATGCCATGAGAGATCATGAGAGATATCCTTCCCATGATTTTTCCAAGATAGGCTTGCAAAGATGGGAAGGGCCAGAATCAAGAGCGGCTATGAAAAGATGCGATGCAACTGCAAGCAAGTGGTTTCCGGCTCGGGGGTTCTTGAGGTTGGAATTTCCCAGCAACCGGCAACACTTGCGATCACAACTAGATCCACATGGTCGGCCGATCGGTTCCTTCAAGCATGTGGCAAGCTGACCGAAGAAGTGGAGATTGACATGAGGTTTGGAAACGGCATCGCTCTCTCCAACAGTGATAAAATCCCAGGCAACTATCAAATTGCATCAAATGATCATAGCAATCCACCTCCTGTCCAGCTTGCCATGTTGCCATCTTTGCCAGCTTCATATGTTTCTTCTCGTTCGCGAGAGTGAGAATACACACCCAGTAGGTCGGTGCAGTCGACCGATGTCATTTTGAATGCCTTTGCCATAGACAGTATTGGCGTGTGGGTCAAACCCTGGTGGGTTGACATCCCGTGACATCAAGGTTCGGTTCATTTGATCCGCGGTCACCCAGGGTTACGGGGTTTTGACCCACAGTCTCACAGTCACATGACGTTCGACTGCCAGATCCCTTCTGGCTGAGGCTTTGCCCCGCCGTGCTTCTTCAGCGCCACCTGAGCGTCGAAATCGAGGCCATGGGGAGGGAGTGTTTGGGTCCACGTTTTTGGCTGATATATTAATTGGGAGTCTCATCACTCTAGGTCCAATCATAAGAATCTCCTCCTCAAGCTACATTCCTAAACGTCTTTTGTGGGCCAAGAGCCATGGCTACGGCTACACTACATGTATCACCTCACAAGTCAGGATTCTCCCAAATTTCGCTGAGTTCCCGCCTTGAATGACCAACCACTAGGGACCACAGCTTCAGCTTGATGCGTTTGGGACCACATGCCAGGCCGTCGTCGAAAGATCGTTCCACTGGTGATTTCCACAGGCCAAATCTGCCGGCTTCAGTTGGGTATGATGCAGCAACTGTTGACAAGTTGATGTGCCCAAACGCATCCAAACGCAATTGCAACATGCAAAACATACTGAAGACATTTGAAGACCTTGAGAGCTCTGAGTGCTTGGCATCGGATGCATTAAGTGTGTCGGGGCGTTTCATGCCTCCAGCACCACAGGTGTTCATTTTGCATCCTTCTCCCAGATTGGGTCAGCAGGAATAATATTCTGTCCAGCAGGTAGGAGGAAGGAAAATAGTCATTTGATTTTTGTAAATTAATATATCATAATATATCTAAATGCTGATGTTGGGAGGTTGAATACGTTGAGTTTTCCCTCAACAGACCTCCTGGATGCCCCTGGCATCCGATGCTCTCCGCCCAGGCTTGGCGACGGCGCCCACCTCGCAGATCCCCTCGCCCAACTCGGTGTTCCCCACGTGACTCGGTGCAGGTCGATCGGGTGCAGGTCGCCCACTCGGCCGCACTCGGCTCGAGGGCTCTCGGGATCGACACATTGGAAGAGGATGGACGTGAGAGAAGCTGAAAGAGTGAGAATGAGAGTGTTTTTCATCACAGACTTGCAGAAGTACTTGAAGCCTGAAGCTTTCGATGAGCCGATAGCTAGGTGAGTGATAGAGTGATATCGAGTTCATGGACCGAAATCCCAAGGCCTTTGCTTCCACGGCCAACGCAGGCGGCAGTGCCGGATGCTGAACCATCGTTCTCTTGTTCCTTTGTGCACTCCAGTGACAAAACTGAGCTGGAGCCTGTCTTGGGAACAGGAGCGTTTCTATTTGGCAAAGTTAAGTTGAGCTGGAGGTCCCTACCACATTCCATAACATTCCTACAGTATATAGCTGTTAACATGTGCTAGTTTCCACGCCCAGGATTCCAGGATGGATGCATTGTCCTAAATCTTTCCAGAGATGTGTGGGAGTTGCCACCCAAGCCCATCCTCGGTATGCAGTGACAACCTTTGGAAGGAGGGTCGAGGCTTGGGCTCTCGCAGTCGAGGCGCTTCGCCCGGTTCCACGGTTTGACGATCCGACAGGCTGCGCGGCGTAGCAAATCCTCGGCTCGCTGAGCGCGTTCACGCGCGGAACGGTTGCGTGGCAGCCACTGCCAGATGCTGTGGCGGGTCGAAATCATCCAAATGCTAAGATGGTTGTAGGTCCGGATCATTCAAGACTGAGGAGATCAGATTGAACATGCAGAAGATTCCAGAAGGGTAGCGGGCTTTCACTGCCCAAATGTGATATCATTGCCTTTGTCAACTTGTCCACGGAATAGTTGATGGAATTGTTCATTTTGAGCCGCATTTGCATCCCTTTATTCGGCGAAGATGCAGCCCAGGAAGTCTTTTCCACAGTTGTTGGACTTTCTGGGAGGTGAGTCGGGGCGCCACGACAGGAAAAACGGGTGCTCCCACCCATGTCCGAACTCCGAACTTGTTTATTTGGACTCTGTTGTTCTTTTTTTTATCCCGGACATTGTGATGATTTTTCCGCGACTGATGTTAATGTGCCCGAGGAGATCTATAGAATCTCCTTTTCGGGTCCCGGGCGGTGTTCGCCGGAGCTGAGCTCATCGCGGCCAAGCCGCCCAGACGCGTGAAAGTCGACTGCCGCTGCGCACAGGGGGTCCCCATGCACAGCCAGAAGGAGAGTCACTCCCCAAAAGACTGCCTGACTAGTTGCCTGATGATATTTAATATTGAGTCAAACATATTTCACCATGCTGCTAGTTGCCACGAAGAAGCGCATGATGCTACCAAAGAACCTGCAATGTTTGCAGTGGAAATTGGCTCAGATGGAGGGCGCATGGAAGTCTAGGGGACGCCCGGATAACCGAGAAGAGAGAAGACATAAACGGCATCAACAGGTGTATAAAGCTCTTGAGACAACCAGTAGCACCACAGCTGAAAAGAGAAAGCCAAGAATACAGGATTGTTAGCACGAGTCCAATGCAGCCTTTCACCAAAATTCATCGCCCGTGTTCTTGCCCGTGTTTAGCCCATTCATTCTTTGAGACCACGAGTTTCCACATGTTTCAAATCACTTGACTTCCAATGGGACCTGAGTGGCTGCTTGGAGTTTGAAAACATGTCTTCACTCATCAGCCTTCCCCCCGACCGCACGACAACAACGTCCTTCGAATCAGCTGGACCGTCCTCCCTTGGACTCCGGACACCATGGCGTTGACCCCGGGCCTGGTGGTCGGGGCCTCCAGTCGTCTCCAGTCGCAACGGCATGGCTGTGATGGACCAAGAATGACAAAGATATACTCCATGTTCCTCTTCAGGCTTCTCACGTTCTGGTTGTGGAATGAGGTGGAATGAGTCTGTTCTGCAAAAACTGCTCGTGCCACAAGACAACTTGCTTGGTGCATGATCCAACCTTTCACCATCCCTTTGTTTCAGAAACTTGGATCCGGATGTTGTTTGAGGCCCTCGGCCATTTTTCGGGAATCCGGCTGAAATGCTTGCCGGCTTGAAGTCCGGCACCTTTCTCATCCCAAAGGACGATCTATACGGGTATATATTTAATATATACACAGCAGTATATATGATATACACAGCACTCCGTTTTGCATCGATTGCTGTTTTTCTTCCACATAGACTCGACATTTGCCCCTCTGGCTCGGAGCAGCTGTCTTTGATCTCAGCCTAGATCAATGTGGCGGGGTCTTGCGCTCTGCACCATCGGCATGTGTCGTCGGTGCAGGTCCATGCCAGGGCTTCAGGGGACCAAAAGGAAGCCCCACCACCGTAGCACGGATCAGGCATGTTGAACAGAATTTAACATCAAATAAAACCACGGATCAGATCCCCAAAAACACAACGAAAAAGAACATTGCCAACCAGCTCGGATAAACTATGTTGTGGGGGGAGTGTTTTGGAAGTTCCCAAGCCACTCCAAGTTTTGACCGTTCTTGGGTTCTTTCTTCGGCTCCCCATGGTCGGCTGCTCGGGCTCAGGTGCCGGAGGCGTCCTACGGTCCCTTGAGGGATGGGGAGCCGACTGGCCGGCCCGAGCCGTATGGCACGTCCGGGCCGAAGCTGCTGTGCCCGGCTTGGGTTGATCTCTCCTCATCTCCAATTGAAGAGTCTGGAGAAGAAAAAACATGCAAAAACATGCAATGAATCGAAGATTGTCCAATGAACAAGTAGCGTATAGTTGGTGGTAGCATTTGTAGAACGACTATGTAGCGTCGAAGAGAACCCCTAAAGGACACCTGGTTGTTCCTGCTACATTGCTCAAAGTCACTGACCATGGTGAGATGGTTCTGGTAGTGGCAAGTCCCACTCCAGGCTGGTTTGAGCTCACATACTGGCTTTATGTTATATATTGTA